ACAATTCGTTGGAAGCCACGGAAATTAACAAAATCAATTGGAAACCAGAAAAATATACTCCTGAATGAGCAATCTAACCATTATACTTGATAATTGGGTCAAACCCAAAACCGGTCGTATGAATAAAATCAACTAGTGGTAATCAGACAAAAGTGTTTTTATTCATTTCATCAAGGTGATCATGAATTACCACAAAATAAAGAAGACATCAATCACACATATGAGAAATGAAGTGCTTTATGTCACACCAAAGTCAAATTTTTAGTGTTGCGGATGATATGGCTTTTTTTCGTACATTATTTGCAATTCAGTCATTCATCACCGTGTTAGGAATCACACGTTAAAAGGTAAGACCTCGTTAGTCCTTAGCTCGCACAAGTTTCTCAACTTCTGAGAGTTGTCGTTCGTATGGGGGCGGCAGCTGATTAACGAAAAAACAGATTTTAAACATATTTTTTAAACAGATTCAACAATTCAATTAAAAACGATTTTGCTTACTTGAGAGGTCGGTTGCTTTTCATGTCCGTCGAGAAGTAATTGTTTTTATGCTGGCATTTACCAGATATTATAATGAATGAACGTTGAAAAAAATAAACGTTTCGATTTTCATTTGGATCAATCCATCATTTCAAATAGATATGCTTAATCATGAATTGCAAAACTCAGTTCATATAACGATTACTTTGAATAGTACTTCAGCATTTCATTACCATGAATTATTTTTATATGCATTGACTTTTGAACTGGTGAAACAAAACTGATGGGTCATGTTGAGTTTCAGAAGTACAACTGAATGATGAACAAAATATACTAATACTGTTTCTCTGATTTTAAAAATTAGAATACTCGTATTCATTAATGGATTTGAATCGTTCTGATTTCAAATATTCAAAATTTCAAATCTTCCCAATTATCTCAAATATGTCTGATATCAATCATGCGTCACTGGACTGTTTCTCCCACTCTATACTATCGTGGTGGGGTGATTTCGTTTCTATTATTTGGATTCAATTACCTGATTCACGTGCAATTTAGAACACCGGAAATGAAACCCAGTTCAATGACTCCATTGGAATAATACTGTCATGAATTTTTCAAGGTTCAATTATGGACATAAGTATTGGTTCTAATTGTTCGTTTTTTAGGGCACTGATGAAAAATCTGAAGAATCATGAAACTAGCGAAACTATTCAGAATATAATGGAGAATTGAATTTCTCAATACTCAAATGCTAATAAAATGCAAACTCGTAATTCAAATTTCAAAAAAAAGGGGCCCAACTAAGATATAACCATTGGAAAGTACTATGAACAGAATCTGATGAAAAAATGAAAGTTTTTGTGACGAAGTATGAACAAATACCCAATATATCTGTTAGTGGTGAATCCCTTTTTTGATGTCATTGAGTGATGCTCTGAAATGAGCAACTTTGCCATTAGTTAACTGACATTATATCTGTTACTGTTTCGGTTTTTCATTGACATCCACAGGCATTAGTAAATTTTTTGAATTCATTCCTTACGATATGGTTCGCCCAAATGAATACAAAATTGGAATAATTTTTTATACGGACAAACTAATCACAATTGTCATGAGGCCGCAAAATAGATCGATTTCTTCCAATCACGTAAAATTTCCTTACAACTTTCTGCGTCAAAGATCTGATAGCCCGTCCGATAAAACCAAAGATCTTCGAATTCAAAATTTGGAAAAAATTGCTGTTCAACCCAAGCAATTAGTTGCCATAATAGCTGCAGCTGTAGGTGCATGAAATTCAAAAACAGCATAAATTCGATCATTTTGAAATCCAACCGCATTTTTGTGGAACCTTGAAACCCTTCATCACAATGTAACTCAACTATTTCAGTGATGAAGCAAGATATTTGGTGAATGGTTCTGCCAATAAGCACATACACAAAATCCTGGGAAATTGAACTTATGGCCCGGATTTATGAGTAATACGGTAATTGGTTAAAAAATCTCACTGGATTTTTTTCAAGACAAAACAAAAGCACAATAGAAAAATGCTCAAGGCGCTCTAAGAGCGGTGCCTGTGCGAAAGTAGCGATTCACGTTGGATTTGAATCTCTGGAGATTCAATTCATTTGGGAAAACGTTCTCAGGGAGGTCATTCCATATAAACGCATTTCTCCAAATGAAAGAGTTCTTGAACAGTGAAGTTTGAAGAGTACTGGGTTGAAATTCAAAACGATGAGCAGCCACATTTCGTCGCGTATTTCTGATTTGTACCGATTTACTTCATCACCTCCTGTGAAAGCATCTAGAAAAGAGTGACAAGTCTCCAAACTTCCTTTAACGTTCCAAATTATCAAGGTTGCTAGTGATGTTTGTGTCTCCAATCAGGCGGAGACATAAACAAAAAGAAAACTCCATTTCCCAGAATTATACGGACATTTTCACAAAAAAATCAGATCCATATTTAAAATTTTGAAGATGAGGGTGTCCTAATTTTGACGACACACTGTATAAAAATTCTATGACCATATTACAATTTTATAATGAAAGGTGTTTGCCTTGAATTTTTCCGGAGTTACTTAAGAAACAGAAAACAGTTCCTACAAGTGTGGTGTTCCTCAAGGTACGGTTTTAGGACCTGTCCTTTTTTTGATATACATTAATGATTTACTTAATACAAATCTTGATGGTAATCTTTACTCATACGGAGATGACACCGTGTATGTGGTAGATGGAGATAACTGGGATGAGACAAAATTGAGGGCTGAAGGTGGCATGTCAATTTCGAAACATAACTTGAGTTATGACTTGCTCACTTGTTCTTTTTTCTGGATGGACTCCAGTAGCTTCAGGGAATGCTGAGGGGCAGAGCTCCATACATGAGAGAAGTACTCCAAAGGAGGTCTGAGCTGGCCTTCATTAAGCCACAAAAGTTGCTGTGGATCAGTTTCCTGGTTCGGAACAGTGTTCCAAGCTTTTGTCTGTCCTGACTTTATTATATCCGGTTCAGAGACATTTATCTATTTTCACTTCAATTCGAAATCATCTCTAGATCCTTAATACGATATGCAACCTCCTGCTGCCAGTGGAGAAGGGCATCCGCAGCTGATGTCCTGCAAAGCAATTTTTTGGAATCTTGGCTTTTCCAATAAGTCGTTGATAGACGATAAAAAGAGGGTTGGAAGCAATATGGATCCCTGGGGAACACCAGCGTTGATGGTGGAAGTATTCGTGAGATATTCGTCGACGGCCACTTGCAGGGAACGTTTTTCCAGGAAACTGAAGAGCCACATACAAAAATGATCTGTCAAGTCATAGCATCGAAGTTTGGTCAGCAAACCCCCATGTCCAACATGGTCAAATGCCTCAAAAATATCAAGCGCAACAACTATTGAGTCCCCATGTTTCTTGATTGCGTTATTCCAATTATGAGATGTTTATACCTGCTACTTTCAGAAGAAGCTATCATACCTGAGCTTGTGCAGGATGGAACATCTTCACTCTTTCATGTTCCTTCAGAAGAATACTCAGATAAGGAATTTACTGGTTGTTGGATTGGGCATAGAGGGCATAATGAATGGCCACCAAGGTCCTTCGACCTCGCCCCCGTCGATTTTTCCCAGTAAGGTTATGTGAAGGAGCGGGAAAAACCAGCAAACTTGCAAGAAATACTACAATGAATCACAGATGTGTGCGTTACTATAAAACCAAAAATCCAGATGTTCACGAGGTTAGAGTTAGACATTTGAACGTTTTCGAAAATTAATTTTTTTTTCAGGACTGGCATTTATCATCATACTTTCATATCAATCGAGAACAAGTGACAACAGACACCTTCAGTTCAGGCAGATATATTTGTTTTTGAAAGTCATATCATATGAGCTTTTTATCAAAACAGGATTCTGTTTAAAATTTTGGGATGCAGCCCCTGGAGCCGCCCCTGCAAGGGTAAATGAGTTCTGTTATCACTTACTTCGGAAATATTAGCCCTCTGACTTTTCCGATACGCGGTATAACTGCTATATCAAAAAAGGTGGTGAAATATGTCTCAACTGGTTGAGTAAAAAAATTCACTTCACTGGAATCATACCTGTATAAAGCAGCACTCATGTTCTATCGTGATTATTTTCTGTGGAAACGTAGAATATTTCTGAAACACATCAACAACGTGAGACCTTCCATTACTTTCACGTCTAAGAATTGCCATTCATAGACGTTTTGGGTGAAGAGGACCGACACTAAGTGGGAAACATCTGTATACCGAAAACCCACTCATACGGGACAGTATCTGAACCACGAATCCAACCACCATCAATCGACTAAAAGAGGAATCATCAAGACTCTATTAGATCGTGCTTTCGGGCTCAGTAATACGAAGGAAAGTCTCGAGAGGGAATCATCAAAAATGATCTTCAACGGAATGGCTAATTTCAAATCATTTTATATAGTAGACAATGGAAGTCCGAACTAGTGAAATTTAAATAAATACTGAAAATGATAGCTTGTCAGACAAAAATCTCTAAATTTTATGGGTTAACAAATAGTGCATTGTCATCATTTATTAATTAGACAATATAAACAGTTGAAGTGGTTGAACTCGGCTTATGAGTCAGTCAAAATGATGAAAGGATGAAAAATCCATTACTGGAATGAAAAAATAATTAGGATGGTTAGAAATTTCTCATTCTACAAGAGATCAAAAGTGAATATCACATTCGAAAAACAGTTTATTGTGAGACTTTCACTGAACAGTTTTAGAAAAACACAACACGTGTTTCGCTATAAAATGTCTTCTTCAGGTGTGTCTTTACGGAATTTGAAAAAAACCTATGAGTCCACTTCTCAATTGTTCAGAATGAATACTGATCATTGTTCATACTTCAATAACTCCGGAAAACTAACTGATGAAACATAATTTTGGTCAGTCTTGATATTGCATAGTTTTCAACTAAACAACAGTTGGCTGTCATTCAACTAAACTTCTTTTCAATCCAGTAAAAAAATATATTTCTTTCGCTTCTTACCAGATAATTCATCGAAAACCCAGAAATATCCTTGATATAACTTTTTCAATACTAGGGCCATTGTTGAACTTATCACATAGACTCACTAACATCAAAGAAATATACTTATTGTGAAACATGTCAATGGAATATATTCATAACCCTATTTCCATATAAAACTGATTTGATTGTCTTGATGAATTGATTAATGTAATACAGGATGCTCCAAAATATGAATGCGAATTATTTTCGTCGAAAGTATTTTTTTTGACTTTTATTGATTTCAAATCGATGATGTAATCAACCACTGTCTTGAAACACATTATATGGTGTGTAAAATTCGTATTTTGTTTAATCTGTATTATACAGGGTTATTCAAATTCGTTTCTATACATGGGGATTTTGTAAACGATAAGAGATACAGTGTGGGTTGAATTATGACAAAGTTGCGTATTCTAGAGACCTATTTAATGATGTGAAGAAATCGAATATAGCTCTTTTGGTTCTGGAGATATACAGGAAAAACAAAAAAATCCCAAATTATTTTTTTGCTTATATCTTCTTTATTCACAGGCATATTGAAAATCTGTCTACATTTTGCTATTGGCACTTGATGTGGGCTATCAGAATATGTCCATGAATCTTTTATATAGGGTGTCATCTGACTTGGGCCACTTCCATCTTTGAATTTTTAAATAAGGAACTGTATTTTTTGTCGTAGTTTTTGGATCGTAGACCTACACTTCATACTGAGAAATTAAATTTCATCTTATATTTCGGGATGTTTCCGTAATATTTGATTATAATTGGGTGAATTATTCCCTTTCAAATTACGGCCCTGGAAATTGGCTGACTGAGTTAGATAAAAATACAATAGCAACTTTCACGTCTCCCTATGTACCGTAGAGTTTTTAGAGAGTTTTTTTTTACATTTTTAAGTACCTATTCATATTTTTTTATATTTCCATTGCTATGAGCGTTTTTTACAATAAACTTCGAATAAGAAAACCTTTTATGATTATGTGAAACATATCTACAACATAAATATATTATATGTGTTTTGATGAGCAGAAAAAGAAATGTTAGCAATAATAACATCCAATACGAACACTATAATTGTCATGAAAATTGAAAAGAAGTAAGTTATATAGACAAAAAAAATTAATTGCGTAATAAATGTTTGAATTGTGGTCCTTACTATTTTGGAGTATTTTCTATGGGGGACATTGAAAAATTGGATTTACGCTGGCAGAAAGATAGAAAATGTGGAAGACTCGAAATTGAGGATTTTGAATGATTTCGCAATAATGCAGCAAATAAGTATATTAAGGGGAATAAATAATATGAATAACCAATTTCAAAAATGTCTCGGAGTGGAAGGACTCAAATATTACCGAAACATCCCGAAATATAAAATTGAATTTGATTTCTCAGTATGAAGTGAACGTCGACGATACAAAAACTACAACAAAAAATACGGGTCCGTATTTAAAAATTCAAAGATGGGGGTGGCCCAAGTCATATGCCACCCTGTATAAAAGATTCATGGATATATTCTGATAGCCCAAATCAAGTGCCAGTGGCACAATGTGGACAATAACTACTATTGAGCCTCTTACACACCTGATCAACGTGTGTATTCCACTTCAAATCGTTCTGAAGGAATTCCAAATAACGTTCGCCAGTCAATTGGTCATCTAAAACGATTGGTCCTATAAGGTGGTTTCCTATGATACTTATTTTTTATTATTTTCTTTTTCCATTCTTTTAATTTTTATTTTTTCAATTACTATATTTTTACTTGTAGGTTATTTCACTATCATTTCATTTCAGGTTTATTGTTGCTTAATATAATTGTTATTTTCAACTATAAATTTTTACTTGTTTCAGGGATTTCAAATCATTTTATATAGTAGACAATGGAAGTCCGAACTAGTGAAATTCATCACGAAAGATTTTCAATCACCTTCAAACAAATATCAGGGTGGTATTTGAGTTGGCAGCCTGTCTCTCAAATACCTGTCCTTTCAGCATACCTGAAAATTCTAATAAAATCGATATTTCAAAATTCAGATTTCAGTTTTATACATGACAATGGTGTCAAACCAGAAACCGGTCGTATAAATGAAATTTACCAGTGGTATATAGACAAAAGTGTTTTTATTCATTTCATTCAAGTGATCATGAATTACCATAAAGTAAACAAGTCATCAATCACACATATTATGGTAGTTAGGCAAATCTCTTAACTTTCACGCCACCATAGGCTTATTGGGATGTTGAAAATCATCGTTACTTGATTCATCTCTAGTTGGATCAGTGCCTCAGGCCTGAATTTAGAAGAGAGGTATTTTTCAGCAGGATGTCTTTGAGCTTTTTTTCTCTTTTGTGTTTCCAAAACTTCAAATTCCTTTTTCGCCTGTTTTTCTTCCAATTCGGTCTGTAATTGTTTTCTTCATGGAGAGCATATATAGAAAGAACCAGCTTTCCCGCCTCTACTTGATTTCTGTTTTTTTTGTGGCAGTGAGATTTATGTAGGAAATTCAAGATTGGTAAACTTTGGCTTGACAGGAACAAACCTATCAGGAGTTTTAGATGAACGCAGTTGAGGTGAGTCATTAAGGGTTGAAGAACTTCAAATAGGGGCAGGTATTGATTCAACAGATTTTGTTTCGTGCCTTGGAACAGTGAGTGTTGAGACGATGAAATCCTCAATGCTGAAAACATTTCCAATGACAGGACCAATGCCAGTCGCTTTGACAGCATCAGCCGCCAATGTCCACACGTTGTACTTAAAAGTAAGCCCTGCCAAATATCCCCATCATATCAAAAACCCTCAAGGGCCTTGAACAAACATATGATCGTTTTATTTTTCTATAAAGTCAATGTTATTCTTGTGGGACGCTTGTCCATCGAGAAAAGCAAGATAGGTGAATCAGCTCAGGGTTCAGCAACAACAATGAAATGTTTAAACCATTTGGTGTTTGTATCCAAACGATTGGGTGACAATCTTGCTCAGAACATAGATGGCGTGTAGGGTATTGTGACATATTACCAGACACGCCATCTTGGACAGATAGCCTAAAAATTTATGAACAAATATTTTCACTGTTTTCTTAACAATAAACTACAACTCTTTAGGTGTGAATCTTGAAGCTCAAGTTACAGTGTAGTAGTTAGTACCAATATTTGAAGGCTTACCTGTGAAAATTCCTGTGAAGCACAAAAAAATTCGTTCTGTAGCGAGCAGTTAAACAGCAACAGGTAGTCATCTCTCTCAACAGAGCATCATGAGAATCTTTTGAAACAGCTCTAAACAGAACTAAACAGAACTAAAACCTCAGTATTTCATATTTCCCGACTATTTCATAATACCCTACTTCCTTTTCTTTTCATAATACATTGAGCTTTCAGAAAATGATTAATTTTGTAGTTATGTAAGTAAAATAACTGTTGTATAGTACATAATCACTCAATTATCACCGAATTAAATGCACAGATAATATATCTAAAAAAAATGAAAATGAATACATTTATTTTCTAAGAAAACCATATTTGTTCAAAGATACAATATATGAAATATAAAATGATATTTCCAATTTCTACTTGTTTTTTTCTTTCTTGAAGACATATTCTTTCAGATAGAAATCGCCAAAAAGAAACAGCATGAAACAGTTTTGGGGCACCAAAATATATCCTGGAAGTTTAGGAAAGCTACAACTGGGATCAACTAGCGTCCTTCCAAATACTATGATGAAGATTGTGAACTGGATCTGAAACATCATCAAATGAAAATATTAACCATTGAATATGAGTTTGAATAAACGGTTATTTGACAATTACGATCGGTAGTTTCAATGACACTGTTCATATACAGGGTGTTCCATCTCAGACGAGCCACCCCGTATATTTCTTATCCTATAGCGAGTGGAAAAATTTTCCGTAACATATTTTGACGTATATTTTAGGCTTGAACCAGCAACCCCCTGAGTGATACTTTATTTGAAAGGTCTTGGAAGCTCTCTTTACAGTGTTACAATCTGTTGAGTTACTACTTTGCTGATTTGTTTGAAATTTCAAAAAATATGGTGTATAAATTGCAAGAACGTATTGAGCTGTTTAAGCCTTTATTACCAAAAACATAATTGTGCCCGAGCGGTTGCAAGGATATTTAACTAAAACCATCCTGAATGTAGCGTTCGCCATACTGAAATTGTTTTCAAAATTTGTGGAAATGAGTTCAGTAATGGATAAAAAAGGGCCCCATTGGAATTGTGAATGATGATGGAGCAGCTGTGGCGGTATTGGGACATGTTCAACTTATGCCAAACACGCAATATGTACGACAAATTTCTGCAGTTTCCGATATTAATCAAACTTTTCAGAATTTTACATAGACACAAGTTCCATCCGTACAAAATCAAATTAATTCATTAATTGAATGATAATGATTGGGATCGAAGGCAAGAATTTTACGAAATTATGGCCGAGCCTATCAACAATAATTCAAATTTCTTGTACAAGGTTTGATTTTCTAACGAATGCACTTTTTTACTTAACCCAGATATGCCCAAAAAAACAGAAATCTAGATTCTTTGATTTTTATCGAAAAACCCTCTTTGACAGCTCACAAATGATTGTGCAAAAATGGTGAAAAAAATTTTATTCATCAGTTTTTTCCAAAAACGGGTGTCCTTTTAGAAGGACAGTGGGCTAATGGATAATCAAACGGACCTGTTAACTAAATAATGTTTATTGAACAACTAATTCTAATGAAATATCGATCATTTATATAGTATGACTTGAAACAGTTGATGTGAAGTGCAACATTGCATTTTTTACACTTTGTCGATACTTTTTTATGACAGACACGACACCGTGTCTGCTTATCCTGGGAAATAACTAAGTGATCCAAACGATCAAATCTGGAATCAGCATTTGGTAACGAAGAAGAACGGCTCCTTTTGAGTGACGTTTTGTTATTTGTCTCCAATAGAAAACGAAAACGAGCAATTCTTCGTCTAAATGTCAGTAGATCCATAGTACTCCCTTGCTGACGGTGCAGTTGCCAAGAATTTTGGATCGACATATCGATACAATGCATAAATATTGGAATATACCATTTTTTCCCTCCAACACTTATCCTGTAAAGACTCATATTCTGTTGTAAGGCTTTATAAATTGAGGTTGATCAACATACAAATGTGTTTTTTCCTTTTTTGAAAACCTCTTAACTTTCTGTAGTGGAAATACTGTTTCACAATTAGAAGCAATGCACATAACATTATTGTCATTCCAACGAACAACAACAACTGTTTTTTCCTTGGTTGACCTATAATCATAAGAACCCCTGTTACTCTTTCTCATTCTTTTGGCATCTTCCAATGGACATTTTGCTCTTATGCCTTTTCTTGACAATTCTTCGAGCAGAGGTACTGTTGTGAAGAAATTGTCAATGAATGTATGATAATGATAATGTCCTATTTTCAGTAAGACATCAGCGTATACCAAAACCACAGATGGGCCCAGCCCAAGCTGTTTGTATGTTTCTTTTACTTCACTGTTAGCATCCTGATATGGATTCATCCAAATAATATATCCACCACTGGTGCACCGTATCCAGAATTCATATCCATATCTTATCGGTTCATTTCTAATGAATTGTTTACAAGGGTGTCTACCATAGTAGGGTACCATCGCTTACCAACACTATGATTTTCAGAATGTGGTGCATAATCCTGAAATCTTTCATTCAGAGCTGATATCAATGGTCTCACTTCTGTGAAGCGATCTGCGTTATCTAAATTTTGGTTGTCACATACATGGATATTGGATAATATAAATTCAAATCGATTTCTTGACATGGCATTTACAATCAAATCATTGTGCACATCAGCAGATTGTTCCCAGGACATGCGGCGTCTACTCATGCAATTGTAACCACTTATAATCAATATACATATAAAACTTTTCATTTCACTTATTGAAATGTCTGCTTTCTTGTTTTTCTGCGAAATATATCTGTTGGTGAAATGGGTAATCAAATTTATTACTTCTTCATCTAAGAAAAGGAAGAATATTTCAGGAGGTGATAGTGAATGACTTGCAGTTTGTTTCGGTAACCAATCCGATGTGTTTTTTTCTATATCAGATTTGATCCAATTGTATTTTTTTTGCTTCTTGCTGTTTGCCTGCTCCTTAGATTCTAGCCACTTTTCTCTTAGTAGTTGAGGAGGTATATGATCTTCCGGATCACTTTTTGAAGATTCATCATCATCATCATTATGAAAAAATTCAGCTTGGACATTTAGTTGAGAAGCAGGAAGGTTGTTTATAGACACAAAGTCCTCATCTCCTGAATCTTCATCTGTGTGATTATCACAAGCATGGTTCGGAGGTATTAAAACGACGTCAATCGCAGAAGTGGGTGTTTTAGCTTCATTTGGCAGATCTTCAAACTTGCTTCAAGCTCCTGGTAATTTAACTGGCGAACGTTATCTTGAAATGCTGGAAAATGCGTAGTGTAGCGATACCAGACAAAGGTACCATCACTGATGTTAGGCACAATCATTTCAGTGCCGCTCTTATATTTCAATACTACTTTTGTAGGACGATTCATCTTTTTGCCCCAAAATAGGCCTCAGTTTGAGTAATAACATCTTCGTTCGAGCGGAATTTCTCACCGATGAGCGGTTTTGTGGGGTCAGAACAGAAAAAAGTCGCGACCAGCTCTGGAGGAAACGGAAGAAGCAGTAGCCATTCTAAGCCCAATTAATGTAGTTTAGCCATTGTTTTGATTGACTTTTTACACGATGCGTTGTCTTGATGAAACAAAATGTTTTTCTCTGTTTCTTTACAATTTCGGCCATCAAGCGCACCAATATTTGCTGTATTTCCCTTCTAAAGAGAGTCACACAACCGCGCACAACCCAAAATACCGACGCCTTTGGACGATGTTCACTGGTTGCTCTCCACTCAGATGACAATCATTTTGATTACGGAGTGAAGTGAAGGATCTATGCTTCATCCATTGTCATATATCGACGCGAAAATTTCGGTTTTTATGTTTAAACATGGCCATACACTTCTCAGAATCATCAAGAAGTTCTTAATTTTGGTCAACAGTATGCTTGCGCGGCACCCGATTTGAACTGAGCTTTAACATAGTCAAATAATAATAATACGTTTATTTACCAGCAATAGAAAGAGTTTCCAATACATCATATGCAATTTCAGATAGAATATAAATAAAAGAAAAAAATTCGGCTAATAACCTAGCAATTGATGCCGCAAAAAAAAAACAATCAATTCTATGAAATGTCCTAGATATGGGTAATAAACATCGAAAGAACCCAATAAAACCTGTGCATGGGAACTCTTTACTTATTGTGTTACCAAATAATTTTCGAACAGTATTTACAATATACACGGTGTTCCTTAAACACATGCTAATATTTAAGGAGATAATTCATAGACCCATTTTAAGAAAAAAACTTCCTATGGACGTATGTCCTAAACACTATTAGATGATCACCTATAATTCCTGCCCATATATTAACCGAAAATTGGTGTTGGAAATGGGTTTCGGTTATTGCATGGGGATTTTCTTCAGCACACACATGATTGTTATGGAAATTTTGAATGGCATTCCGAGAAGAATTAAATTATATTGGTCGTTCTATCGATTCCACTGAAGATTTCATCACTTTTTCAAATATTTTGTGTTGTTTTGAAAATCAAATCCTATACCTCTTAAAAAATCACCCGTTATATCGGGTCGAAACGGCGCTGTAGGGTGACGGATGTTTTTATCTTGGGCTGTGGGTTTCATCCTACATTGGTATTGCATTCGAATTTTTGGAACATATTCGAAACGGTTCTATAACTTCATCAGTTTAAAAGCAATCATTTTCACTTACCAGCTGAATCTGAGTTAGTGCTTTCTTCAAAAAAGTACTGCTTTTCCATGTACTATCAAGTACTGTCATCAAATAATATGTGAACATCAGGACATGTACGAAAGTATTAGCCATAATAATCCATGCTCCGACTCCTCCTGCGAAAAATCGGATTCCAATCCACGAGCACAGAATCATTATAACGTGGTGATAAACGTGAAGAAAACTAACTTGCCTGTAGCTCTTCCGTAGAACGAAGAAGACCTGAAATATAATAATTGGGATACTTTTAGTTCACTCTGAAGTAAATTCACTATTTTGTCACACAGGCGCATTTCTCATATACTGACACTTTTTCTGCAGTGGAAAATTCAACTATCCACAGAAGAATAATTTAGTCGTCTAGTCGAACAACAAGATTTTGGTAATATTCAAAAGTTTAGCTACCGTCTTCCCAAGAACAGGAAAATTTCCCAGCTCAGAATCAACGAGGTCTTAGTTTTTACCTTGCGATTACTAGCATTAGCACATTTATACATTTTACAATATCAAAAAACATCGTCGAAATCGAGAGGAAAAAGTTAAGCTCGAGTTAACTCGAATTAGAAAGTGGATTTGACTTATCTTTATGTGAAAGTATTTTGATGAATATTTACCGTATCCAAAAGATCCAGTACTTTCAAATTGAAAAATTGTATAGCTATCGACAACTCATATAACCCTTGTTCGTCAGTGGAATAAGTGAGTTTGTCGCAATTAAATGGATCTGAAGCGAATGTTTTCCATCCCTGTGAAAATATAAGCGAGATTATAACGGATAAAACATTGAAAAAAAGTGGTGGTTGTATCGATGGTGTTAATTTATGAAAACTCAGTATATGTTCTGTTGATTTCATGTGGATTGTGTTTCATGCAATTACAAACATTATAATTGATATCTTTTCCCAACATTAAAAGATCACAACACAACAAAGTTTTTGTTTCGGGGTTGAAATTAGATGATTTTAATGTATTTCCACGTGTTAAAACCGAAAGTGACCATAAAAATTATATATTAGCTCTTGTTTTACCATTAAATTAATAAGTGAAACCTGCTTCATCAGTGAATAAAACTCGATGAATGGAAGTCATATCCTCTCTTTGCTTATACATGAACCAATTGGTATATTCCAGTCGTGCTGGAAAATCTTCAGGGGTCATGGCGTGTACCTTCTGGATGTGATATAGTTGGAGCAGTTGTCCCCTGATTATTTTATGAATAGTGAACTTGGATGTTTGGAACTGTTCTGATACATTTCTGATGCTCATTGAAGGATCATCAGCGACGGCTTCCAAAATATTTTCCTCCGATACAATGGTACACACAATCTTAGGAGCGCCCTCACCACCTCGTTTTGAAAAAACTGTACCTATAAAAAGAAAACGACATACTCCAATTAATAATAATTAAGAAGATCAAACTTTGATCTTCTTCTTATTCTTTCCGATAATCCTCTGATATAGGAAAGTGCAAGCACTGGTTGTGACGGCTTCTCTTCCTTGCGAGACTTCTGCTGTCTTCTAGCCAAAGCATGTTCCACCATCGCATTGGAGTAGCCATTCCGTTGAAGATCATTTTTGATATCTAGTTCCTTCTCGAGAACTCCCTTTGTATTACAGAGCCTGAAAGCACCGACTTATATTGTCTTGATGATTCCTTTTTCAGTCGATTGATGGTGGTTGAATTCGTGGTTCAGATACTGTCCCGTGAGAATGGGTTCTCGTTATACAGATATTTCCCATTTAGAGTCGGTTCTCTTTACCAATACGTCTAAGAATGGCAATTCGTTGTGGACTTCCTTCTCCATTGTTAGAGTCATGGAAGGTCTTAGGTTGTTGATGTATTTCAGTTAGGCATCTAGTTCAGTATTTCCATAGTTCCATATTATGAAGGTGTCATCAACGTATCTCAACTGAACACGAGGTTTCTTGTAGGCTTCTTCAATGGGCAGAGTTAGTTTCAAACCAATCCATATATATGTTGGCTATGACTGGTGGAAGAATTCTTTCCCAAGTTGAAAATACCAGAGCGGAACGTTCTTTCTTGTGGATTTTGGGTAGTTCATACAAGTGAGGGGGCTTACTGTGGTGTGGTGTTGGCGATGATCTCCCATTTCCCAAAAAATATGACAACTTTCTTTCGATTGATGGAGTAGAGCACCGTACGATCTTTGTGAATTATCCCTTCTGAAGAAACTCTTCGATCTTCTGTTCGTAGAGAATAGTATCCATCACCACAGTAGCGGTAGGATCTTGATGGTGTTGTTTCTACGTAGGCCGTTCAGACCTCTACGTTATTCACTGCTGATGTTAGATGCTGGAACTGGTTCTCGATTTAGCTGTTCTCTGATTTTCCATCTGAATTCTTCTGTCTCGTTCTGGTCAATTAGGGAACTGGTGGATTCCACTGCAGTAATTATCTACAAATTGGGCACAGATGTTGGCGCAATGGCGAAGTATAGACCTTCCCCCAACAAGGATTTCTCTATTCCTGTGAGCGGGAGGGAACTCATGTTGATGACGTTGACGGCTTTATAGTTGTCCTGTTTTCGGTCTGCATTTGGGCATTGTTTCCTTGCTAACTTTCCCCAGTTTCTGTTTTGTGTATTATCTATGGCTTGGCGGATCTTCAAGTACGTGCTTTCATTCTTGGCAAAGATTGGTACATGATCCATGGTTTTGTTTTTGTTTCTGGAATTCAGGAAACCTATCATTTCTAATTTTGAAAACAAAAACTTCAATATAATGAGTCTACTTTATGGAAATAGACAGAAATCGCACACGTAATCTGTCTTTTCTGCCTTTGTACAACCACAACGANTATCATTTCTAATTTTGAAAACAAAAACTTCAATATAATGAGTCTACTTTATGGAAATAGACAGAAATCGCACACGTAATCTGTCTTTTCTGCCTTTGTACAACCACAACGAGCAGCTTGAACACTGAATTCAAATTATCCCTGTGGAATCATCGGATAATCTTCCACCACAGTAGATGCACTAAGTGTCTTTGTTGTCCGGTGCTATTTCTGGTGGCATGTTGTTCATTGAATATGATACATCAGGATGGTAGTTAGGCTTAAATGAAATGAATAAAAATACTTTTGTTATTACATTTATGTAGGATGAAGGGAGAAAAATGAATCTGTTGGAGGCCATGGAAATTACTAAATCAATTAAAAACCAGAAACATATACTCCTAAACGAGCAACTCGATTTATGTAGGTCTCCTCTATTGAATTTGAGAGTTTAACAACCCCTAGAATTATCAGGGTGGTATTTAAGTTGGCAGCCTGTCTCTCAAACACCTGTCCTTGCAGCATACTTGAAAATTCTAATAAAATCGATATTTCAAAATTCAGATTCCAGTTTTATACTTGACAATGGGGTCAAACCCGAAACACTTCGATTGAAAACAAACCGTGAACCTGCACGTCGTCTTGATTTCAGACAGGTTGGAGCCTGGCTCCCTTACCCTTTGAACTGATGTTTGCCAGAAGGATAAACGGGTCGTAAGTGATGGTGGGGATTGATGGTATGGTGGCATAAGTGTCCTCAGACATCAGTACCGTCCTTCACGGTGTACTCCTGCCTGGCTGGGGTGAGTTGGATGAAAAAGTTGTTCATCGGATAGCACGTCTGTATCAGAGGGTACAGACGTGCTATCCGACCCTCGATCTTTGATTTGACGCTCGTTATGTGCGGGTTCCAAGTGAGCCTACGTTCTATCAAAAGGCCGAGGTACTTTACCCGCGCTTGCCAGTCAATCTCCCTTCCAGAGATTCTTACTTTTCTGCCCGGAGAAGATTTCAGTCTTTCCATGGTTATTGCCTGAATCTTATCCGGATTCACTCGGATCTGCCAATCAAGGTACCAGCGCTGAAGGTCGTCCAATGCACGTTGCATATAGACGACACCGAGCTCCCGACCCATGGTAGATGAGAGGAGAGCCGTGTCATCGGCGTACAGAGATATCTTCACACGCTCGGACCTCGGAAGGTCACTGGTGTGAAGTGAGTATAACGTCGGAGAGAGCACGGCCCCCTGTGGCACTCCAGCAAGGATCTCTCTGTTATCAGACAGAGATCCCTCTACTCTAACCTGAAATGTCCTGTCTTTCAGGAAGGACCTGATCCACTGGACGAGGCCCCGAGGCAGGTCGAGCGCATTTAATTTGTGCAGAAGAGCTTCGTGCTGTCTATTGGTGTACCACCAAAGTTAGCTTGACAAGTTTTGATCAATATATAAGGCTAACAACTGCGTTAGCAGTAATTTGTGAAGCTCTACTAGAATGTTATCGTAAAATGTCCACATGTTTCTAGAAATGATATAAAATCAAGAATGATTAATGCAGTCAAGCTACTGGAAAATAATTCCATAAAAATCAAAAGATGAAATTGAATTCAACTTAAGAGCCACCGGTAGACAACTGTTTCAGCTTGTTGATCAGCATCAGTACCGAGCAGGAGGTCCTCGATTGAAAACAAAATGTGTAGAACCAGGAAGAGTACTTAGTAAACAACTGCGTGAACGCTAGCGAGACAAAAGTGGAATCACCTGTTGGTGTGCACCCAACAGGGTCGTCGCCGTGGGGGGATAGGGGGAAGCCTTCCCCTGCTTATTCGACTTGGGAAAAAGTTGGGCCGTGAAGATAGAAATAACAATAGTAAACGAATGAATAAAAATTGAACCAATGAGAGGAAAGAAAGGAAGAGGTTAATAAGAAAAGGGAAAAATCAGGAGAATGTTGGGATTTTCCAACATGCATAACTTGGAGATCCCATACTTTAAAATTCTGAGTTGTTTGAAAACTTCGAAAAAGTTTAATTTCTCCCAAGTAAGAGAACAGTCCTGAACAGTCCACACATTTTGAAGTGACAATTTTATAAAAATTCCCAACTTTTGGCTGTTTTTTCGACTTGGAAAAGTTGGGAAATTTCGGGTCATTAAGATAGAAAAAATAATAGTAGAAAATAATGAGCACAATATTATTTCTTCTTTATCTTGTTTGAATCAGATTTATGGGCCTAGGAATCTTCATCCTTTCGGCTGTTTGAGTTTTTCTTGGGTTCCTGTGGCGGGGAGGCAGGGGATTGCATGGTCCTCTGTCGTCTTCTTTTGGCTCTTTGTCCTGTGTGTAGAAGTCGCAGCTTACTTCTTTGGCTTTGCAGCCATTAAGGCACTGTTTCTCGTTTTATTTTCCGGCAAGCATGGATTGCAGGACCGGAAACTTCACTAGAAGCTCCTGCAGCTGCCCTAAGGCCGTTGGGAGACCTTCGGGAGAGCTGCAAGCGTTCTCTGACGATGAGACGGCCCTCGCATACAAGACGTCGCTCCAGATTGAGTTTCCTTCGACAGGTCTTGGGTTTGTGGTCTGTCTGTTTCCGTTCGGCCTATCTGAGGTCCTTTCATTTTCAGGGCGTTCTGGATACCCATGGAAGCTCACTGGGTGTTCTCCCTTGCAGTTAAAGCATCACAAGGGCGAGTTTTTAGGTCTTTTGCATTCTTTGGTCATGTGCCGTTCGGCACATCCAACGCAGGCTGGAACTGCTTTACAGTTGCGTTGCGTGTGACCGAACTTTGGGCATCTGTAACATTGCCCTGCTCGGTTTCTCGACTTCTGTGTTTTGGCGCTTACACGCACGTTTTGAATTTCGGTGATCTCATATGTTTTGTTTTGGCTCCTTGGATCTAAAACAAGCACGATATGGAGATAAACTTGGATTAAGTCTACCCTGAAGCCTACAGGGTAGACTCTACCCTCGTTCACCGCCTCTCTTTCGCAAGCTAACTTCCCCTTCCGCTTCGCACGTACATAACATTGCGCGTGCGATTAACAGTATCTAAATGTTTTTTTTTGCATTTTCCAA